CAGCTGACTGAGCTGGTCTTTATAAATTTAACCTTTGTCTGGACTTGGCAGCACAGTGCAGTGCAGCCCCAGCCTGGATGCAGAGCTCACAGCAGCAGGAATAAGATGTGCTGGCTCCAGTGGGGACCATCCCACTGCTGTGAATCCTGGAGGAGAAGCTGTTTGCAGTGACCGGGGACCCCATTGCCAGGGGTGGGGACTGCAGCTCTTCTGTCTCCTCATCAGGACCGGGCAGGAGGTCCAGAAGCCACCCTCAGCTCTGTCCTGCACATCCATAAGAGTTAAAAACATTTCATTTAGGGCAAGAGCATTCACTGGATTGCACAGGACCCTCCGTGATCTCCTTCGCCACTGTTTAGTTTAATTGTCCTAAAATTGGCAATAGATTAAAAGAAAATAATTATCCCTAATTATATCAATTAAATGGCTAATTCATTAACGAGCTTAACATCCTTTACTTGGACCATCTCTGCTAGGCAAGATTGTGCTTCCAAGAGGAGACGCCAGGCACACGCTGCATCCTGTGCAGACCCAGTTGCATCGTGTTTAGCGTGAGCTGCAGGAACAAAATCCCCTCATTATTCAGATGACAGAACAAAACTATAAATAGTGGATCGCAATTAAAATCAGAACAATTACTCCTTATCCGTTATGCTGCCTTTTGCACAATAGCAGCCTATAAAAGGAAAAAGCACCGTCCTTTTAGATCTCTCTCTCTCTCTCCCTCTCTCTCCCCTTATCCAGAACTGTAGCTGGCTTGCTAATTAGGAGGCTTTTGAATTAGATTATTTGCATGTCTGAACAGGGCTAGGGTATTAAACATCCCTGAGGACATACTATAATAACCTCTTCAGTGGCTTTTAGGATCCCTAAGGAACCAGGAACTCTGAAAAAAACTCCAAAAGGAGGGAAAGTGCATAACGATTTCATCCAATTAGGTATGGATTAGTCGGCTTGGTGTCTTTGAATCCTGCTTGCCAGGAGAAGGTGTTCTCCTCTAGGAACATTTGACAAAATCATCAGGGAAATTATAATGCAGTACCTAAATGAAATCGCAATACTTTAGTTTCTCCTCCAAGAAAAAATAAACTACAAAATCAATACAGTGGTGTATAAAGCAAAAGAAATGCACCAGTCACTTTATTGCCTGGCTGCGAGCACAGCCCTGTGTTTACAGCATCCGTGAGCGACTGTCAAAGTCAGGCTCCTAAGGACAAAGCTGCTGCTGCTGGGATTGGCTACAGCCAATTTTAATTTTTAAATACCACTGGTATTATTCTCTTCCTAATGGCTTTCCACACTCTTCCAGTTTTAAGAAATCACCAGCCCATTTATATTTAACAAGACAATTAAGCTGCCCGGGCTCTGCAGCGCGGGTGGGACCGGGCAGACCCCCTGTGCTGGGGCTGCTGCCTCTGCCAGGCTGCCAGTCCTGGGGCCCCCCTGCACCCCCACCCCACGGCCAGACCTGCCCCAGGGCACCCGAGCCAGCCCAGCAGGAGGAGAGGGCAGTGCAGGAGGAAAGGGGTTTGCATTGATTTTCCTCCTTTTTTCTTTTTCTTTTTTTTTTAAGTGCTGAGATCTAATTTGGAGGCAGTGGAACTGGAGCTTCATGAGAAGTATGATTATTACAAACTGCCTGTGGAGGTGAGCCATGCTGATAAGACTGCACCTGCGGGGACCACTCTGTGTCACCTCTCCACATTGCATCCCACTGCCTGCATTGGAAGCCTGAATATTGGTGCCTAATTGGAATGGATTTCCAGAAAGGCAATAAGGGAAACTATCTAGAAAACTGAACACGCAGCACTAAGCTTTATAAATCCTAAAACCTGTGGATAAATTGCCCACGTTGGGCAGTGTAAAACCAGGGCAGTGCAGTCAGGGATTGGGTTTGCACACCTGGAGCCCCAGTGTTCAAGCATCACTGCCACAGCCTCCCCTTACCCAAAGCAATCCCTTCACGTAACAGGGAATGGATTTCTGACTGCCAGGTGTACAGGGGTTCTCTTCCCATGGCTTTCTCTCGGCCATCAATATTTAGCTGAGGTCTCCCGTGGTCCCTCTGTGAGGAACACCCCTCCACCTCAGGTGAAAACCTCAATCCTTATATTTTGAATTTCCATCTTTGAAGTCCCATCAGTGTCTCCTGTTCTCGTGCTGGGGAGGGCAGTGAGGGCAGGTCCTGGTTTTGCCTGTCCTGATCATACCCACCATCATTTCACACTCTTCAGATCAAGCTCCCAAGCCCCTGGGTCGCCCACCCTCTGCTCTGGGCTCAGTCCATCCTCACAGTGCCTTTTTGAGAGACACGCTGCACACCAGCACAACAGGCATCCACCGTACCCACAGGAGCCCCACCACCTATTTTAATATTTTCTCTTCCCATTCCCATCCCCCAAGCCCCTGACATCTCATTTGCCATTTGGCTTTGGACACACGTTGTTCAAGGTCTGCTCAATGACCAGCTTTCCAGATTGGTCAGTTATATGCTGGGGAAATTCTGGGTTTTAGAGCACTCATATTCATCAACATCAGCCTTCACTAGCTATCGTGTCACTCATCCTTCTGCTTTGGCCAAATTTTTCTGAATTTCTTTCATCTTTTCTGAATTTAACTAATCTATACCACTGTTTCCTTTTCCAGGTTAGTAATTAATATATTAATGCCATTAGATTGAGTGTGTAACCATGTAGCATACTGTTAGGGACCTTTACATTGATTAATAAAAGACTATCTCCCACTTTTGTTTCCTTCCTCTTAGTCCATCTTATTGATTCATAATGTTACTGTATCTCTTACCCCCATTTTTATCTTGTTTCCTAAGAAATCCTGTGGGAAGACCTCATTAAAAGCCTTTTGAAAGTCTAAAAATATGTCAAGATATTCTCTTTTATCCATTTATATATTGGTAGGTTCAAAGTATTCTAACAGATTAATGAGACATGATTTTCCACAGCAGAAACTGTGTTGATTGGATGTGATCTTCAAGGTATTTTATCATTCTATATTTAATAAATGTTTAAACCATTTTGCCAGATACCTGTGTGAAGCTGAATAGTGTCTAATATCCTGGATAACACTTAGAGTCTTTTAAAAATGTATAATATACAGATAAAACCTCTCCACTTTTCTTCCAGGAAGGGAAAACAGTGCAAACGTTGCTGCCATATTCATGTTTTTCCTTAAATGCAGTGAACATCTCAACATGTGGCCTTTTATTTCCTCTCAAATCAGCTCTGGGATGAGACACAGCGGACATGGAATGAACTGTCCATTTGTCCTCTCCCATATCCACACAACTGCAGTCCCAGAGGGATTCCACGCCTGGGACAGAGCTGAGGGTCTCCGGGCTGGGAGCAGTGACCATCCCACAGTGACCTTCCCTTTCCACCACACTGACTGACCCAGGTCCCCTCTGCAGAGCCACCATTTAAACTTTGGTGCTTTCCACTGCTTTGGAGTTCGCTCATTTTTCCCTGAGTGTTCATAAGAAATCTCTAACATTCCCGTGTTATTATTTCACTCTACAGATTAGCTTGTCAAAGTTTGCAGATTGAAACCATAAACCACTTTTTACTTCTCTGTTGGAGAACAGTTCATTTCTTTAGAATACATACTCTCTTAATTGCAACCCACTGCTTGTTAGAAAACAAATTACTGGGAAATTATTTGTCCTTTCAGTCGCTTATGTCTTTATGAAAAGGGAACTTCTCACACAGCTCCCTGCAGGCTTGGCCCTTCCCAAGGGACAGGCACAGGGACAAGGCCCCTTCCAGCTCCTGCTGGCAGAGCTGATTCTGGTGGGACCCACTGGGAAGGGCCATCAGCTGGAGGTGATGTTGTGTTCCTGGCCAAGGCAAAGGGAGAAGCTGAGGTAGTTCCCAGAGCAACCTTTGAGTTAATTTTAAATTGAGACAATCCCAGAGAGCAGCTCCAGTGTGCCCTCCTGGCACTGCCTTCCCCTGCACTGCAGAGCCCTGCTGCCCACCCCACCCCCAGGGTGCTAATCACTGCCTTTGTCCCAATTCTGTTTTCAACTATTGAAACTACCAAGAACAAATCAACCCAGCTCCATCTACAGCCAGGGTGTGTCGTGAAAATGAAGCATCAGAGCCTGTGTATGCCACGTGTTCCTGAGCTCAGAACACCCCAGTGCTGCCCCGAAATTTTGACATAAATGGAGTCTGAGACAGGCCTGTTAAATAGGTAAGCAGGAGATTAAAAAAAGGAAAAAAGAATGAAAGTTCCCTGCAGCCTAATCACATCTCTTAGGGAAATTCCTGCACCAACCCAGCCGTGAAGCCGGCACAAATCGATGTGGCCCAGGGGATCAACATTTTACATATATATAAAAAATTGTAAACATCTTTTATGTATGCAATGTAATAACTACACTCAGCATCATGGGCTCTAAAAGCAAATGTTATGGGCAGTTGTATTGCAGTAAAGTGGTTAAATGGGAAAGCTTTGAAGGGTTGATAATTTGTACTCTTTTCTTTACTGAACCAACTTATTCTTGTCTGAGGATGACAAATTCAAACACTCTTCTGTAGGAAGAAGTTTTCATTCATCAGGATTTTTTCCCCCACCCTTTCTATTTTCTGCCACTTTTCAAGTTCAAGAAGTCAGTTACAGCTCTGATTATGAAAATGGGGTGTAGACGTAGGTGAGGCAGCAAAACATTCCCAGTTTGGGGGCCCAGAGCCTGCAACAATGGAGCACAGGGTCCTTCAGAGGGATGTCAGGGACACGAGTCACCAGTGTCCATCTCAACTACTGACCAGCTGCACCCTGAAGCCTCCCCCAGTCTGGTTTGGGGTGTTCTTGTATTTCTTGTATTTCTCCAGATTTACACACAGAAAAATGGTGCCTAAAATCATCGGACATTACTCTGCACATCTGATAGCTGTAAAACACTGCCTGTGAAAATATAAATGAATATTTAAAAAATTTATTAACCAATAAAATTAACAATCAAATATTATTTCTGACTCACAAATAAAGCCTGTGGTGTGGGTTTGCACCGTGCCACGCTAATTAGCGCAGCAGGAGAATTCCCCAGGGCCATGTCACTGCTCCTTCCAGAACGAAAATCAAAGCAAAGCTCTGAGCCTACTGCACTAAATGGACAGTAAATAACACATTCTCAGCCTTTAATTATTTAGCAAGCACAGCAGTGACCCAGGATGTTGTAAAATATGTACCAAGATACTGTGTGGGAATGCAGCGCTGTTGCAGGTGGGGTTTGTGGCACTGGAGACACAAGTTCTCACAGTGTTCCAGGGGACTGCAGCTCTGTCCTTGCTGTGTGTCTGAGGGGCCACAGCTCCTTCCCAGGGATAAGGCAGGACAAAAATTTTTTGCAAATTTTGGTATTAATATTTTGTAAAGTTGGTATTGATATTTTGTAAAGTGTTGGGATGTCTGAAGAGCAACTGTCTTAGAATTTATTTCCAATTGCTCTATCAGAGGATTTTTAAGCATGACGTGATTTACACAATAATAGGAAATCAGCTTCCTAATTCTTAAACCAGCAGCTCTGCCCAATCCTTCCTTGAGTGTACAGTGCACAGTGCAAAGTTACTGTCTGGCACTGAGTGTGCTTCATGTATAAAACCCCCAACTGTGACGAATTGGAAAGAAAAGTTTCCCCATATTACAGACTTAAGAAACGTTTATTAACAATTTGATAATACTGTATGTGGAGGCTTCACACTCCTCCAATGACTCCTTAGCTGAGAGCAGAATGATTTCACCCTACTTGCTTTTAACTCCCTTGCATTTATCTTGCCTGAATGTCTCCACTGGATATTGTTTACTCTTTGGATTAGTAAACTCAGGATTAATTCCACTGTTTATTGCTGAAAGTGGCAGTAAATCCAGCATCAGGGAGAGTCGGGAATCTGCTTAACTGTGCTGCATGACCCTTTCACAGGCAATAAAAACACCCTCCCAGCACGGAGGGACAGAGCACTCGGAAGCAGAGCCCGTGTCATTAGGGTATGTACAGGAGCTGGTGCTTAGCCCTTCTTTTCATTAGGTATTACAGATGCTGTAGGAATTTTGGTATCACTTGAGGGAAAATATAATAAAAGGATAAAGAAAGCCCTCCCTGTGAGCCAGCATGTCCCAGTGTCCCATCCTACGGCAGTGAGGAGCAGGGGCTAAAACCAGTCCTCAGCACAACCTGGGACTTCTTTTGCTCTGGAATCCTGGTGCCTCAGGCAGGGAGGAGGCAGTGAGGGTTAAAGCATGGTGCCTGCCTCTTCTCCAGCTCCCTGCCCTCAGCAGGGCTGTTTTTTTCCTATTAAATCAGCAAAGAGGAATGCGGGGCCAGGAGCTGAGCAGAGCTGGTTGGAAAGGTTACCTAAGTGAACCACGCAATTTTTTTCTCTCAACTTTGTTCCATCTTAAGGTAAAAGGTTCATGCAGAGGGCTATAAATTCCTGTCACATTTTGTTGTAATCTCTCTATGGTTTTATTACTTAAAATGCTGCACTCTCGAGACGGGGAATTTTCCAGGGGTTTGAGGCTGACACGGAGCCACATTTATATTGTGCTGAAGCTCCTCTGGAGTCTCCTTGAGACATGTGGCCGGCAAGCCCGGCGTGAAGGCCTTATCAGTCACTCCACCATGGAGTCAGCCCATGAATTATACGGGGAATGGAGGTGGCTCTGTGCGAGCGGGATTGCGGGGCCGCCGGGTGACAATAAACATGTCCCGGGAATGTGTCCTCCATCACTCAAGTTCAGATAGCAGATCTGGACCTTAACTACAGCTCCCCATCTCTAAATCTCCCTGTGACCTGAGCGGGAGATGGAGGTGAGTCTCAAGGATATCTGTCTGCAGGGAACTCGCAGAGGAAGTTTATAACCCGCGTGTGCTGCAGACGCCGCCGCTCCCAGCACCGCTCCCAGCACCGCTCCCAGCACCGGAGCAGAGCGCTGGCTCTGGCCAGGAAGTGGAGCCAGGAATACTGGGACGCAGGGGGAGTCCTGCAAAACCTTCCAATGCTGGCAGAAGGTGTGAAACATCTCCTCGTGGCTTCTGCCTCCACAAACACACGTGTGGAACAGAGCGGGGAGCGCAGGGGTGACGAGCGGGGGCCACGGGGCTCCCCGTGCTCAGAGACTGCAGTTCCTGGACCAGCAGAACCAGGTGCTTCTGCAGTGCCAGGATATCCCAGAGGGAACTGTTCTCCATCCTGGACTCCCTTGTGCAGGTGACTGGCAGTTCGGAGTGTCAAGCCTGAGGATGAATCCCTGCGACGTCCCAGCGCTCATCTCTGCACGGAAGCCAAGCAAGGGCACGAGCCAGGGTGGCACCTGGCCCTTGGGCAGTGGCAGAGACCAAGTGGCTCCCACAGAGGCGAGAAATAAATCAATTAAGCCTCTTCCTAAATTAAATAATAAGAAGAAAGAGTCTAAATGCAAAGTGTTAATGAAGTAATGAAGGAAAGCGGCATGCTCAGTGCCACAGCTAAATACAGCCATTAAAATCCATAACCTCTGTAAAATTTGTGATAAAATTACAATTTAATTTTATAAAGATAATTTATTAACTAATACCTCATTGCACATGTTAATTGCTTGTGCTTAAATAATAGTAATCTTGATTGCTCTGTGGTCATTAAACTTTTTTTTTTACATACTGTTTAACTGACCGTTTTGTATGTGGTTTGGGGAGAAAAAAGTAATTATTGAAGTCTAAAGCACTGAGTTAATTTCTAATGAAAGGATAATTTTATTCCAATGATTTTACATTTAATTAACTAAAGCTACATGCAATGTGAAGTTCTAAGGCAGTGCTGATTCATCTGTGCACTGGACAGGAGGCGTGTGACTGCCCCAGTCCCAGTGGGCACCAGCAGTGGGAATGAGGGGATGGAGCAACCCCACAAAGCGAGGCTGAGAAATTGTGTGTGGTTTTGTGCTGTGCTGACATGGAGGTTGGAGCTGAACTGGGAAGGGGTGTGGTAACAGATCTGGGCTCTGTGAAGTGGCCACCATTCTCACCCTGAGGATTTCTGCACTGTAGGAATTATGGGATGAGAATGGGAGGAGGTGGGATGGTGAGTGTGATACTGCATTTTGGAAAAAGCTGGAAAGCTGGGAAGAAACACTTAGGGTTAAACAAAAAATTGATTATGGAGACGGATGAAGAAAAACGACAAAACCAGACAGAAAATCGTGCTTTTGTCAGTCTGAAAGTGTTTGGTTTGATACATTCACCACCTTTCACTTTTGGTTCAGGTCAGTTTTTGCATGTTAAAGTTCTCTTCGACACAAAATGCCAGAAAATTCCCTAAAAGAAGCACTGAACTGCAAGTAGTCAAGAGCAAACAGAGGCACTTTTTACATCACTCCCACCCTGTTCACTTTACATTTGCTGCCAGCTCACCTGTTCCCACACGTGCGTGGGTGCTGGGACACGTGGCTCTGCCAGTGCCACTGTGGCTCTCCCGGCAGGGCCGGGCACGGGCTGGGCACAGCGGGGCAGCCGGCGAGCAGCGCTCCATCGGTTATCCGCCGTGCCGTGTAGGTGTTCCCGTGCTGCAGGGGAAATGCTTGTCAGGGTATTGATAAACAACAGATCTGTGTCAGTGCAGATGCCTTTTTAATGGCGTGTCCTGAGGTGCAGACATTAGGGTTATATCCTCCTGCCTCCCAGCCCTCCGCACAGCAATCACTCCTCCTCAAGCAGAGCGAGGGCTGCCACCACCCCTGCTTCCCCGCCTTATTAATGCATCTCCCTCTCACTAATGCAGACAAGAAAAGACAAATCTGGAGCCCCACGTGCACAGGGGGACCGTGAGGGGACCGGGGGGCTGCACAGTGCAAAATAAAAGTTCAGATTCTGTTGTGGCCCTGGCACCAGGGCACAGGAACCCAACACACACCTACAGCAGCACCACGGCAAAACCCAGCCCAGACCACGGGTAGGACTGGCACAGGCTCCTCTGCTCTGCAAAGCTCCTGACATTCCCACCTCCTGAGAGGGAGCCTGGGATTTGGAGGTTTTTGGGATACTGCTAAAATCCTTATTAGCTGAATGAAGGACTATCCATGAGAAACACCCAATCTGTCTTGAAGGGTTATTTAAATCTTTTGAAATCCTTGCGATGATGGGGGAGAGCCCGGTGTGGGCACAGCCCACAGCAGTGCCAGGGCACAGCTGCACTCTGCCTGCCTCTGGGATCACCCTGGGATCCCCCAACAATGCTGCTGCTCCTGGGGAATCTCCCTGGCCAGGGGCCCCTTGCCCTCAGAGCAGCCAATTCACTCTTGATGTGAGTGTACCCTGATGACTTAATTATTTATGAGGGATGTTTTGTCCTGGATTTACAACTAATGCAAACAGATGTTGCCAGACCAAGGTGGCTCTTTTTGCTGGATCTTGATGGATACTCACAGTAGTGGAGCAGCAGAGCATTACTGGCCATGGCTGTGCCTGTGTGCACTGGGTGGCACAGCACATCTGCCCTGACCACAGAACCCTTCTGCTCACCATCAGCTGACCTCAGAGCTCCTTTCCTGCCACACTCACTGCACTGCTCTATAGTTATTTGACTTTGACTCTATGAGGTGCTCAATTCCAAGGCTCAGTCGTGTGTGAAGCCTGGCCAGGTTTACCCACCTCGCGCTGTGTCGGTCCCAGGTGTGTTCCCGACTGTCCCCTCTGGCATTCCCACTTGCTGGGACAGAGGTACTGGTTTTGCTTCTGTCTTCCTGAATTGTTGGTGCTGTCCCAGCTGCTGCAGCTCTCAAAGGAAGGTGGGGACTTGTGCTGGGCCATTCACAGAAGGGCACCCCAACAACTGAGTCTATTTTGCATGTCCTGGTACATCAGACCCTAAATCCTTTATTCACAAAGAAACACTCAGGTTCAGAGCACTTGCCCTCTCATCAAGGAGAAACAAAGCCACAGTTTTTCTGACTAATCCCAACTGGACAGCAGAGCTCAAACTTAAAATATTCATGATTTAGCCCAGAGTATACATTTCTCAAAAATATATTAGCTGTAAGAATATTAGCCCCAGGAGTCACAGGGAAACCAGGAACCTTGCCACACTGTGTATCAACTCTGCAAAATGTTGTGATTCTTTGAGAAAAATCTCTCTTAGCTATGGTTTGCAGGATTTAATATTCTGCCCATTAGCAGAACCAAGCACCACCCTTAGAGCACACATGCAAATAGCAGGGGAGAACAGAGGAAGACAATAAAACTGGAAGCAGCCTTTCGAAGGGCAAATAAATAATTGGATTGCAATGTGAAAGTGTTTTCCAGTTTGATGGGCATTTCCTTTTCACTGAAAATACACCAGGCTGAATGGCTCAGTGGGTCCTGCACACCTCGGAATGGGCCCGGCCAGCTTGTGCTCTCGATAACAGTGGGTATCATGGAGGTACATAAAAACATAGTTTATTGTTAAATTAAGTGTCCTGTTCTTGAAAACAACCCTTAAATTTAACATTCCAAGGCTGCTGCTGTTTATTTGCACTCTCGGAGCACTCTCAGTGCTGTCCACTCAACTACTCGAGAAATACATTGTAATAAAAATAAATGGACAGTTTGGGTTTCTCTAAAATTAAAACAGAATATACAGCAGCCTTGCACTCCTGCCTTGCACTGAGGTAGCCTGTGATAAAGTCACATTGTGTCAGAGATGGCAAATTATGCCTGCTAATTACTTACTGGAATTTCAGATTTGTCCTTACCATAATTAAAAAGGTGTCACTTTATTAGAATAGGGCTGGAATGATGGGGCTTGGAGCAGTGGAGGAGATTTCTGGTTAGAGATAATTACCAGTGATGTATTCCTTTCCCTCACTGCCGTTTTTGCTGCATTCCCCCCATTACTGTGTAATGGATGGCTGGCACGGCTGCCCGGGAGCTCAGTGTGGGGAGCACCCGCCCAAGGGGCTTCCACTGCCAGCCCCCACCCTGCTGGCACAGGGCAGGTCCAGCTGTGTGTGCTGGTCACATCCCCACCGATTTTACTGAGGCTTCATCTGGGGATACAGCGACAGAGAGGGCGAGACGGGGTCAGTCCTGTTTCAGGGTGCCCCCTCTGCCCATGGGGTCACTCCAGAATTTCCCAGGCAAGCTTCCAGACGCTGCCCTGCAATGCCTGCTGCTCCCCAGGGCCCCTGTGCCCTGCAGACCCCGAAGGGGCCGCTGTGCCCCCCACCCCCTCCTGTCCCCCTCCTGTCCCCTGGCAGCTCCCACAGCGAGGGCCGGTCCCAGCCCCACACTGAGCTCAGACAGACACACCATTTATATGCATCGAAATATCCCTCTGTTGGCAGAAGAGACTTGAACCTGTCGAGGGCAAACTCGAGTCTCTCCCAGGGCCTGGCAAAAGAAAATAGCAGCATTTAACCGTGATGAAAGTCACAGTGCAAACAGGGATGCAGGGAGAATAATTGCATGGCTGGAGTGCCCGGCTCCATGTTATCATTACACATTGGATTCCTGGTCTGTAAGTACAGGGATGGCGTGAACCCCCGCAGAAGATGAAGGTTATAAAAGAGGCATTACTGGGAAAGGTCAGCAGGCTATTCAAACATGGAGCGGTTGCAATCTGCAGATTCAATACCCAAAGCTATTTGCAGGGCTTGGAGAGGCAGGAGGAGTGGGAGAGGCAGACACTCACCCACTTGCTACAGGAACAGGGAGGCTCCTTGTGCAGCAAACTCAGGAGCAGGCAGAGGGAGGATGTGCGTCTGTTCAGCCCCGATTGCCTGCAGGCCTCACCAGCAGTGCCCTTTGCCCCAGGGGTGCCAGCAGTGCCCTTTGCCACCAGCACCACACCAAACTCCTGCAGCCACGCCGGGAAATAACCAGGCCAAGCACAAAGGGCAAGGCAGGTCTTCTGTCTTGATCCCATCGAGATCTGGCTGCAGAGTGTCATCAGTGGGATCTCTGATCCAACACATCTGGACAGTTAAAATGTCTTTTCCTTTCAGGAGAGACCTCCTTAGGCTGAGCACAGCACTGCAGCCCACACGCTCCACGTCTGGGGTACCACAACACAACATTCCTGTGGCTGATGGAGAGACCCATCAGACTCCACATTTTTATAAAAGATGGTTTGGTTAGCTCATGAGGCACCATCATTATTGCCAAAGGGTTTTGCTCTCCAAGCCTGTGCTGAATATTGTATTACTTTGCCATGCTCAGAAACTAAAATTACAACAATTTAATTTTGAATATGGTGGCATTATTACCATTTGTATTTGCCATTTCATAAGACTTTTCATTTCAACTGCTTTGCTTTCCTGTCAAGAGGAAAAACCTTCAATCTATCGGCTTTTACCAGAGAGGGAACTGTGCTGGAGTGTAATGCAGTATTGTATATTTCTTCTCTAATGCTCTTTTGAACAAAATCATCTATTTCATCAACAGTATATCAGCGGTGACCAAAGACCATTAAATAATGCATCTCACTCAGGAGCAGTGGAGCAGGGAAAGGGCTCTGACCTGTTTTAAACCTTATTACTTTCTTGCATTATGCCCCTCACTGCAATCTTTTTGTTTAAGTGATTTCAGCTGAGGCGTTGCTTCCTGCCTTAAAACACACGGCAGACGTTATTGCTGAGCTGCTTGGACTCAGCCTCAGCATTCCCCATCCTACACCAAAACCAGCCTCTGTGTATGAAGCTTTGTTAACCTCACCAAACATACACCAATACATGTATGTGTCAGGAGCTGGTGTGAATAACACCCCTCTTTATTTTGGAACTCGCTGGCTGAGACTTTCCATTTCATTCAGACCTGTGGCTTTATCTTCCAGCAAAAGTTTGGTGCTTGCAATGAGAAAACCCAGGGCTGGTAAAGCAGGCAGGGAAATCAATCCGGAGCGGGACAGCCAAGCCAAAGCACACACAGTTGGAACACCCAGAGGAGGCTGGACTGTGCTGCAGACTGGGATGGGAGGTTTGAAGGGCTGGCTTCCCTGTGAGCCCTGTGCTGGCTGTGCCTGGAGGAGCTTGGTGGCACCAGCAGCCCCTGCCCGTGGAGAAGGCTCTGCCCAGCCACGACTACCAGGGGCAATGCATCACGTTCCACGTTCTCCCCGGCAGATCCCTCACCCAGGCGTGCTGTGCCCCACAGGGGCAGAGGGCTGGCCCCAGGGCTGCAGAGTGTGGCCATCCCCACACTGTCGCTGCTCAGAGGTGAAGACCCCCAGGGCAAGTGGTGGTCTCTGCCTGCTGGTGGGCTCAGCCCAGCCCTGTGGTGCCCAGCACCATCTGCCCCTGCCTTGGCTGATCTCTGCTGAAGGATGTGAGGTGGCACAGGGACAGCTGACCTGGGCAGGAGGGGCAGCCCTGGTGGGGCACAGGGGGACCCACCTGCACTGTGCTCGTGGTTGGCACCACGTGGCAGCTGGGCTGAGGTGCAGTGCTAACAGCTGGGGTGCAGCTTTGCCTCCCCCAGCCCTTGTGAAGCACTATCCCCCACCAGCCGGCGAGGGGAAAGCCTGAGAGACTTACAATTACATTTTCTCACTAGTCTAATGAGGTGAGAGACAGACAGAGGAGAGAGTTCCCTGGGCTAATTTTCCAGCCAGCAGCCACTGCATTGCTCCTGTACTGCGAGAGGCAGAGGGAGAAATGACTCTTCCAGATTAGAGGCTCTTGCTGAAGGCATTCCGGAGCATATTCCTCCAGGACACTACGGCAAAAAAATGGAGATGACAAACCATTTTACTACGTTCAGCTGGAATAAAGTAAGCCACAAATAGAACCATGTGGTGCTGGGGGTGCACTGATTGGGAGAGAGTACCTGGGGAGAGCAGGGAGTGGAGCCTGGCCTGAATCATTGCACACAGAGCTCTGCTGGAGTGAGGAAGGCAGCAAGTCAGCATCTGAACAGGGGGACGAATTAGCTGTGAGAGGGAAGGAGCATTGCATTTGTCTCTCCAGCTAGTGAACAATTTGTTATCATGGAAATGTTAGCAATGGAACAGTCACTGCCTGGGGGAGCAGCACTGGGCTGCAGAGGGCAGGTGCTGGAAGAGGAGGGCTCTGCCTTCCTCCCAGAAACACTGGGTTCTTCAGACCAGAGAAACCCCGAGAAACCCCTCCTTGTACCTGCAGGGAACATGGAGGGAGGGCCCCTTTCTTCATTCCTACTCTCCATGATCTTGTGCTGGATTCACATAAGCTCAACATTTGACTCTTTGGAGGTTCTCTGATGGCTTTGGTTGAGCCCAATGGTGTTGTGTGCTGCCTTCATATCCCTGGTCTCAGTACACCAAACACACTTCCAGCATACCCAAATGGACCTGAGAAACCTGAACTTCCTAATCTGAGTCAGGAGGAAGAGTCAATGAAATCCCTCTTCCATCATGACCACGTTCAGCGTGTTCACATACACATACATGTTCGTGGATGAGGAATGTTCCATCAACCAGTCCCCAAAAAAGACTGGAATGCTCCCATTTGCCTGACAAATCCAGCCAGACTGATCTATCCTTAGCCATCCCCTGTAGTGTTTGGAGCTTGTAGTCAGTCCTGAATTCGTTTTAGGCTGAGATCAGGCCTTGGTTAAAAGTGTGTGCAGGAGGCACCCTTCCCTCTCTTTCTTATTCGAAAGGAGCTCCTTTAGAAAGCACTCTGTTGCTGTGCTCATGCAAACCAGGAAGAGATCTGTCAAATATCAAATACGAATTTTGTTGCTGAAGCTCTTGGAAAATTGACAGGTAGCATGCAAGCAAACATTAAATCAATAACAGCAAATTTCCCCTGGGAAACTTGTAGTGTTTTCTCATAAAAATCTTTAAATCCTTAAAGAACCCATGAAAGGTTTACACACCTCGTGTTGGTTAATCTGGTTACCTCTGCATTGCTCAGCGGCTGATCAGGGTGTAATACCCAGTGCTGATCACCCAGCAGTGAGTGTAACACCCACTGCCCCCGCGCTGATGTATTGTAGCTTTGTTAGTCACTGTGGCTCCTTGGTAAATTCATTTGGAGTCCTCCGGGGTTTTAAATCTCTCATTTGGCCAACAACGAGGTCTGAAAAGATTGCAGTTCATTTCGACCCACAGTGGATGGAAGGCTCATTTACTGGCTGCAGGCAACTCAATCAGGCCGGGCGCTGATGAGTGAGTGACTTGTTCAGACCGCTAGTCAATATGTGTCTGCTGTGATAGAATGTCAGCATCTGCTGCCTGCTCCTGTCTCCCACTGCTCTGGCTTTTTTCATTTGGCCTGATCAATGTTATTAAAAACACCTAGGAGTTCCTTAACTGCTCTGCCACTTGAGGCTTTTCTTTCTTCCTTTTTTTTTTAAACACAACTTTGTATTATCTGCAAACATGTGCAGATGATGTACGTGGATTGATTTTTTATACGAGTGTGTGGGATGGGGTGTGAGCATATGCTTCGGCACATGACTTGTGCACAGGAGATGGTTCTGCAGTTACAGCACCCTGGTTTGAGGTTTTTGTGTGTGTTGCCCTGAAGCAGCTCAGACTTAAAGCATTTGCAAACATCTGCTAATTATTATTTGTGAATAAAGCTTCAAATGTAAGCATGCAAAAATAATACACCTTCTCTAAATTGAAGCGAGGACACCCAAGTGGAATCAGTGACATGTTGTGGACACCCACACATTAAAAATCAGACTGCTGTTAAAAATAAAAGAGAGATAGAGCTTAGGTAAACAAGCAGAGGGTTAAAATCCCTTTACATGACAGGTCTGGAATATAAACATCATTTGCAGTGCCCTTGGCCAGCCCACCCAGTCCTGCCCAGCAATCCATTTCCTGGGGACTAATGACACACCATGGCACAGGAGGGTCAGCCACCAATTGCACAAAAAAAGGAAAACAGATACACTGCTAAAGGTTTCAATCTGTCTGCAGAACGTGCACGTTCCTGCAGGAGCGGCACCGTCCCGAGGTGCAGGAAGGGGAATGCTGTGCCCTCTGGGCAGTCCCCAGGCTTTGCACCGTCCAGAAGAGAGGATGAAGGGACAATCACAGAGTCACAGAACCATTTTGGCTGGAAAACAGCTTTAAGATCATCAAGTCTGACCATTAACCCAGTGGCTCCAAGGTGCACCACGTGCCTTTGGCCACGCTGAAACAGAAGCACCACAGGGCCGGTGGCAGCGAGAGAAGATGGTCCCTCCTTATCCGTGAGGAAATCTTGCATGGCTGGAGTGTTTGTGGGTAGGTAACAACATCCACCCAACAAAACCAGCATGGCACTTGGCTTCAAGTGCTTGGCTAAGAGCCTGTGGGGAGCTCCAGGGGACATCAGCTGTGGGGATGCTCTGCTGTTCAGTGAATGCTCCTTGTGACTGTCTCTCCTCCCTGCTCAAGAGCTAGACTGAACCCTGGGGTAATAAATACAGCTCCTTTGATTTTACAAAGATCTTATTCCAGGCATCTTCTCCACCTAAAATCCTTTCTAAATTAGTGCTATGATCAAGAAAGCAAGGAAAAATATGGGGGATTTTATGTCAGGTGACTGTAAAGGCTTTGAATGATAGAAACCTCTGCTGCCCCATCCATGTTTGCCCCATCAGTGGATTTTCCTCCTCCATCCTCCACAGACAGAAGACAGCTAAAATCTTGACCATCCTGTGCTGGCTAGCTTGCCCTGAGGAGAGTTTGCCACAGGACCTGGTGCTTGGAAGTATGACCTGAGCTGACCTTTACTTCTGCTGTCCCATCTCCACAGGCTGCAGCTCTGCCCAGCTTCCCCAGGCCTTGTGGTGCCTGCACTGCACAAAGGAAAGGCAAGGTGATCTGCTGTGACCTGAGGACATGCTTCAAAATCCACCCATGCTTCCACCCCTACCCCCTTCCTCTGCAATGTGGCATCCAAAATAGATACCAAGAAATGACCTGCCAGGAAAAAAATGGAAGCCTATAATTATGTTATTGAAAACCTGTTCCATACTGTATTATTTAAGGTTATTTTATTATGATGTTGAGATGAGTTTCTTAAAGAAGAAACTCTGGGTTTATTGCGCTCCTCCCGCAGAGGAGCCCTGGGTGATTTGATAGCCTATTTGAACAAGAGGGATGCTTTATGAGCCCCTATAAAAACTGATGACCCCACTCACATTTGTATTTAATGAAATAAGGAGGAGCTTTCGTTATGTTTTCAATAACCTTCACTGCTCTTTCCAACCTGCCTCAAATAAAAGCCAGAATCTGAGTGTTTCTGTGCTGAACCCTGGCTGTCCATAAGGAGGGCACGGGGGGTTCAGCCTGGCTGGTGAGCTGTCCTACCATCCCTGTGTCCCTGCAGTGCCTCTGCCAGGGCTGTGTCCTGCTGGTAGGGATGGTGGGATGGGTGAGAAGTGATGTCATATTGGGGGAGGATGGTTGGGAGGAATGTTGAGCTGGGAGAGGGCTCCAGTCCTCATCTGCCTCAGCCTCCCAGGCACCAGTACATGTTTTATTTCTAAGTATCTTCCCATACACAAAATCAGCCTTTTTCATTACACAGTTTTGGTCTGTCATAAAACATTTATCTCTCTGAAAAGTTCCAGTGCTTGGATTCTTCTCATTACATTAAATAATTGCTGTTGCTGGAAGGATCAGAGGCTGTGCCTGCAGCCAGTGGCACTGCCTGTCCCTGGCTCTCCTGGTGGGAGGTGAGTCCAGCAGTGGCACTGGGGACAGGCAGGTCCTGGGCCTAGGGAAAGTCTTGGGTGAGCATCTCTTCCCCATCTGGCAGCCTGATGATATAAATATTTAGATGGAAATGATCACTTCCCGGCCTCGGTGCCCAAGGGACCCAGCAGTCCCCACGCTGACAGCACAGGGGGACACAGCCCCACGTTCAGCAGAGCAGCTACTAATGCTGTGGTCTTCTAAAAAGTGAGGCCTAATTAACTGTAATCGATGGGGCTTTCTCCACGGAGTTGTCCAGATTCGGGCTGCTCCCTGCAGCCAGTGCCCAGTGAGGTCAATTTGGGATGAGTGAAGAAGAGGAGGAGCCGTGGCGGGTGCTGTGACTCGGTGTCACTGTGTGGCCACTGTGTCTGCCATGTCCCACAGCTGCACGAGCAGTTTTCTCCCCCAGAGCTTTGAGATCAGGAGGGGGAACCTGGCAGGGTTTATTAAAGCACATCCAAGCCCTCCGACTTGCATTTGCATTCACAGTTTGATGTAGATGCCACATCAGCAGATGCCTGTGAATAAGCTGGAGCAGGGTTATAGCATCCTGGTGGTGCAGTGATTCAGTGTGATGCCTCGGCAAGCTGTTCTGTAATGGGCTGCAAGGCTCATTTTTACGATCATTGGAATGTAAAGGGTCAGAATCTTAATCTCCTAATACTGTGTTTTTAACAACATTTACACTTTAACATATTGAAAAATCTCATCTCTTTCTGCCACCCAACATGACAGCACAATTCAAAGCGATCAGTGCAGCAGTATATTTTGGTATTTTAAACATAAATCAACCTGGCTGAAATATTTTTTTTCCCTTCCAGTACTTCTGAAAACCTAGGAGTTTCTAACTTTAATGTTTCTTATTTGAACCTTTGTATTCAGTGGAGTCTCCCACCTGAATAATTCAGCAGCATCAAAGAGAGCACAGAATGAAGGACCCAGTCCAGCACCCAGCACAGACACAGTGCTTTGTGGGCCATTGCAACAGTAAACCAGTACTCGAGGAATGCAAAAAGTTTGGGAATGCAGGTACAGAGAGAATTAAATTCTGTATCACCCTGCAAAACTAAGTGACAGGTAATAGGAACACATCAGGAATAAAAAGCGTTTTTGTTTTCATGGAACCTTCAGGATTGAAGGGGAGTTGGGTTTTTTTCAGAATTTGCAAATCTTACACAAACCAGTCAGCCCAGGAGCCCCTACTCAGTGCAGGGGTGGCCTCTCCTCCCAGAATAAATGGGTTTGGTTTCTCTCTGGGATGGGGGGGGGAAAGAAGGAAGGGACTGTTGGGGCTTCCTCATTAGTGATGTCTACCCTCACAGTATCACTCTTTGCTCCTTTTCTGTGCCTTTTTCCCTTCTGCACATGAGCTTTGGAAGTCGGGGTCTGCTCAGGCTGGAGCACCACACACAGGACCTCTGCCCCTTCCCAAGCTGCTGCCCTGCACTGGGACAGCCTGGCCTCCTGTCTGACTTTCTATTTAATTAGCAGCTCCTTAACCAATTTTGCTATTTGCTGGCCTAGATTTCTCTCCGCTCCCACGTGAGAAGGGAGCTGGGCATATGGGCTGAACCACAATGATTTGATTCATGGTCTGAAATCATCATTGAACAAGTGTCACAACATGGCATTAGATTAAGAACTAAAGCGATGGGCTATGGTGAGTCTGTTCATTAGTATTAATAGAGCTTAATTAGGCACAAGCATGGTGTTGCAGGGAAATGTGAAGGTGGCTGCAGTTTTCAGGGTGGGAAAAAAAAAAAGGTGTTATTCATTAAAGGTGAAAGAAGCCCATAAGCCTTGTGCCTGCCTCTGAATCCCAGCACAATTCAGGCTCAGAAGTGGCCTTGCTGCCCCAGGAGCACAAAGGAGTTAAGGACTGGGTCATGTTAAGGAGCCAGAAGAGAGGAATGGAAAGTCCAGACTAAAACCATGAAATCTGGAGAAAGTCCTGACCTTGGTACAGGGGACTGTCTCACAGAGAGAGCCATTCAACTCTGACCTGTCTTAACGGAGGAGATGACACATCAGATCAGCTCTTCCAGTTCCCAGGGAGGGGTGTTAGGAGAGAACAGTGCTCCAAGAACCAAATGAGGGAGAGAGACAAAGGGACAGGAGCTATCAGTGCCTGCAGGAGCCAATCTCCATGTGGCACTGGACCAGGTGGCTCTGCCAGGGCTGGGGCTATTTTGCAACCAGGGTAAATATCCACGGATGCATTCAATGCTTTTGTAATGATTTCAGTTCTTTCCTTATCTTCAGTATCCTCCCTCTTGCACCAGTTCCCCTCCATTCATGCTGCTCTTTGCTTTATGGTTCTTAGGCCATTTTGCATCTCTCCCCATTTGGCAACATTAAATTTTATTTACCATATGTCCCTTCTGCTACAAAGATGATAAAATCCTTTGGATTTTTGTTGTGCTGTTGCAAGCTCATTCGGCACTCACCTCAATTTAGTGTCCTCAGCAAGTGGAGCTGATTTGTTGCTGTTCTTCACAGAGGTCCAAGCTGGGACACTGCCAGGCTGTGCTGCAAACCTGCACTCGACCACTGCTTCTTTCCCTTTGCCAGACACCATCCTCTCAGGAGGTCTCCAACACCTCCATGGTGGCACAGAGCATCGTATGGACTTTTGGCAAAAGGGACAAGAGAACTGCCAAGAAAATCTTTTGTACATGGTTATTTTCCATTTTTTGTTCATATTCTGTTGAAAATATCTCTCCTTGCTGATTATTCCAATCAGTGCTGTTATACCTGGGGTTAATGTGCATTTCAAAGAGCCCATGATGGCAGAAAAGTGGACACACAACCCAGGATTAATATCCAGGGCCAGATGGACTTTGCCCTCATTCTGCTCTCACTGTGGTGGGCTGGGCTGCCAAGGAGGCCCCGCCCGGCCACGTGGAGCCTGATCCCAGCTGGGAGGAGGAGAAATGCACCTTTGGATCCCACAACAAAACTTACGGCAGCCAAAGGCACCGAGTTGGAGGTGGGGTGTGCTGCCCTCTGCCTCTACAGCACAGACATCTGCATTTCAGGCCCTGCGGTTGCCTGGCAAAGGCCCATCTTGCCCACTTTTTACCAAAGCTCATGCTTCCCTCCAATTCTGTGTAAATTAAAATGCATCAGACCATTTTAGCACGAATGAATGAAATTCAAAATGCTGGTACGCTGGGCTTTGCTGCTACATTCAAATCTAGCTGGAAACGGCAGCTTAAAATTGTTTCCACCTTCAACCACATCAGGAGGTGATTTGGGGATTGTCAGTGGAATACTAATACTTACTTCTAGAAGTCTTTTAAGTAAGTGAAGGGGCAGAGGTTGAGGTGCAGCTAGCTCTGCTTTTAACAAAATAGTAATCTCTCACTTTCGTAACATCTTTTGATTCAAAGGGGCTCCAACTGAGGTCCTCATCTTTCTAAGGCCATCGCGCAGCCAGAGCCGGGAACCGCGGCCAAGGCGTGCTGGACTCAGGAGAGCTCTGCACGGACCAGTGAGCCCATTTGCATGATTGTCCTGTGGGGTGAGGGCTGAGCTGCCACATCACAGGCACCTTGCACTGACTTCTTCTTCCCAAGAACGGCCTGTTTTGCAAACACTGCAAGTGGTGTTGCTGCTGGATGAGGACACTGGAAACTGAAGCTCTGAGCTGCTGCTGCCCCTGCTCGGGCCCCTGGCCCCGGTCCCTGGGGGTGCTCCCTTTACTCCTTTCTTGGTGCCTGAGGGGTCTGTGCAGAACCTGTCCCCTCCGTGCCCACTGGCTTGGCAGAGCCCTGTCCTGCTCCAAGCAGAGATGCCAAGGACTGATGGTTTGGGCCACGGGCCCACCTCTACCTGTGTGGGGCAGGGCAGGGGCCTCAGTGGGGTGACATGTGGCCCCGGTGCAGCTGGGGAGGTGTCCCTGCCATCATCTCCAGGGGAATCCTGCTGCCCCAGCCCCACCAGCCCCTACCGCCCATCTGTGGAGAACCAGACTTGAAGAGAGCTCAAATTAAAGGTAAGTAATTTCCTTTTTTCCTACCTTGAAATTCCTATTGATTTCCTACCTAAATAGAAATTCCTATTGATTTTGTGTCTGTTCATATTAGTATGTTACCTTGTCACCTTTTGTTTGCAATATTATGTTGTTTTACGTGTTGGTGTGTTTGGGAGTGCCTGGTGGGACCGTGTCCCTGCAAGGTGCTCACCAGACCTGCACCCCCGGCTCCGGTCCCGTCCCGTCCGCGGAGCGAGGGGCACTGCACGCACTGGCTGCGGTCCTCAGGGGGAGCGGAGGGGAGCCCCCTGCCCCAGGACGAGCTGTACCCCCACCTCAGCTGCTGGCCCCCCCTCGGTGCCGTGCTGGCCCCGGCTCTGGGCTCTGCCGCGATCCCGTTACAGCCCAGCCGGCGCTGGCACCGCGGGCACAGCCAGGACGGCTCCGGCGCTGCTCCCCCGGCTCCGCAGGGGTTATTTTTGTAACGTCGTTTCCTTGTGAAAGCTGCTGGCTGTTTAGAAATCCTGCAGCTAACAGCCTGTTGTGGTCCTCACATCTCCGCTGGTCAGACAAGTATCTTCCCCCTGTCCCTGGCGTCCTCTATTCCTCACACCTCACTGAACAGGCACTGCCACGCCGAGACCTCTGACCGAGTTGTCAAGGTGACGAGTGCTGTTATCCTAAAGCACTTATTTCACATACATGGTATTTTGTCCCTTGCTTTTATTGAAATACAGAAGAGAGACCAATTATCTTCCTAATGGTTTGCACAGCTTTCTTCTTCTCTTAAATGGGAGCTAATGACAAATGGTTTAGGCAGGGTGTCATTTTTTAACGGGGAGCTCTCGGGTGTCCCCTGCTTCCCAGGTGTCCAGGGACACAGGGCAGCTCCTCTCACCTGCTCTCCTTGCACGGGCATTGCCACCAATTTTCTCCTCCCTGCTCAACCCCTGTAAAATTAACACATTTTCCTAAATGCCTGAGTGCTGGAGTCCTCTGTGCTTCAGGCAGGAAGGTTTTAGAGGTGCCAGCAGCAGGGCTCCCCAGGGGTTTGCCATGGGAAGGGAGGGTTGTGGGCAGCATCTGGGGGGTATCAGGATGGGCCAGGGGTCTCGAGTTGTCCCCCAGCCACATGGTTGCCTGACACCCCAGCCCAGCTGCTGGAGCTGGGTCACACAGCAGCAGGTACAGCTTGTCCCACATCTCCCTCACAGGAAGAGGCACATTAAAATGCTGATATAATGCCAATCTTAAGCCAAATAATGAAGAAGAGGCTCTTTGCTGCTGCAGCACGGCTCCAGCTGAGGTGCACTGGGGGAACAGTCAAAGCAGCAGCTCTCGCATAAGAGCAGAGTTAGAGGTTGGGTTGTAAAAGCAGATGGGGGTCCAAGTGGGTTGATTCCCTCCCCATTGGCTTCCTTCTGTCAAGCACGGACCCCCATGGCATACGGAACGTACCTCTTCCCACCCGGACTGGAGTTTCATCCACCAATTCCTGCTCTGGGAGCACCTGAAGCTCAGCAGCTTGAGTGTGTGTGAGCTGTGAGGCAGCTCCGCTCCTTCCCAGCGCTGTTATTGATGTGCTGTGTCTCGGTGGATTAGTAAAGGATGTGGTATAAGCCAGAGGGTTTCTCTTGCCTTCAAGCCTGCATTACCCCGTCAGGAACAGAGGTTTCACTGGCACCTGATAAGCCACATAAAACAGATAAATACTGGGGAGATGCTGTGTGTGAACACAATCGGTCTTGGCAGTGACGTGATCCCTGTGTAACAGCCTGGCAGGTACCTGCAGCTTTGTTTTTTGCAGGGAAAAGGCAAGTTGTGTGGAACAGCTCCGGATTTGAGTTATGTAAGGCAGGAAATTGTGCATCTCCATATCATATTCCAAGAGGAATGTGCAGTTTCACCGCTGCAGACACACAAAAGTGGGGACATTTTGACTCAGGCATTGGCTTGGGAAGAGGCTAGAATTATTTTTGTGTTTGAAAATATGATTTCAGTGAACTCCAGATAGAGGAGATCCACTTCTGCATGCAAGTTGGAGAGACTGGGTGACCTCAGTGCTTGCACAGGAGACCAGGAGTGTGTCCTCACCACATGCCCCCTCCAAGTGCTGTGGTATCCGTATTTTCATCCTTTCCCATGCTGGGACATCACAGAAAAATCCACCTGCAGGTTGTTTATCTTGTTTTGTTGTGAGTAAAGATGCGGCCTTTAACTTCCTGTAGATGTAGTGGTTTGGTTAATGTCTGGGTAACAGAGGGAGGGGATGGGGGCATGGCAGTGTTAATGGGAGAACAGCTCATTTATAGTTCCAGCATGCTTTATGACATCAAAAGAGCATTGAGAGAATGCTTGGGATAATGTTAATTAGGGCTCAGAAATAAACGCTTTGCTTGCTCATTAATTGTTATCTCTTTGTTGTGCTCATTAGAAAGTGATTCCTAGCAAGGAGCTGCTAAAGGTTGTGCAGCTGGAAGGGGATGTGCTACTTGGGTGGAGGATGCCAGGCAGCCCCGTCCAAACCTGGTCCTTGGGGTGAGGTGCTGGGGGACACCTGGCAGCCAGGGTGTCGTGGGGAGGGGCAGTGGGATATGAGATGCTTGGGAGAGCACCATCAATGTGGGGCACAACAACCCCTGCCCCTACCCCTGTTATCAGCCTTGCAGGGAGCAACTCTCTTCTCTGGAAAGTTTTCTTGTCTCAGCCATTTCTGCAGATAATGTGAAAATACACTTTGGAAAATTGAATCATAAAACTGTGGTGTAAATCCTTTTAAAAAGAGATCAAAGACCAAAATGCTAATAAGGCTGGGATGGGAATAAAATCCAGACGCTTTACCAAAGTAGAATAAAAATAAAGGAGGCCTACAAAGAGAATAACAAATTAAAAACAAGTTTAAAAAGAGCAATGGAGAAAAAAGATTCAAAACAACCAAAAGAGAAAACCCTTAAAGCAAAGGCTTTCATGTGCCCAGTGCAGGCGTGGCCGTCGATGCAGCTTTCAGAGGCTCTTCACACACTCCAACCCCCGACTAGGGCTCGGCTCCCTGGCACCCAGCCCGTGCCACACCGTCAGGGGCAGAGCTTGGAAGGTTCCCTATTTCCCTCCGAACTGCTGGAACCTGTCGCCACCTAAACCATCTCAGCGAGAGAACTTTGTGAGGGGGATCTTTATCGCTCTGCCTCCTTCCCTGGGCTTTCCCAAGTTTCTCTGTAGGTGAGGAACACCAGGCAGGGCACTGGGAGAACAACTGCACACTAAAACCAGGTGACGTGCTCTTCTCAAATCCATAAATCACTTCCTTGGGGATACTCTGGGGAGTTGATTCAACCTGGCATTAGGAAAACACTTTTAAAACACACTGATCCCCTCT